TCCTGCTGTAACCAGTCTCTGTATTGCTGATCCCAGGGGATCTTACATTTGCTGCAGGCTGAGCCTCGTAGGCAGTTTGTTGCTGAACTAAGCCATTTAAATAGACAGCGAGTTTAAAAAAGTATGTCCTGCAATTTTTGTGCTGATGAATTTAGAATGATGTTCTAGCAACCTCAGTACACTCCAAATTAATTAGCAAGGATCCTTTTAACAGGATAATTACTATATCAGCAAGTGGTAAACTCAAAATGAATGCGAATAGTCCTGGCTTGCATCAACAAGGAAGAGGTGTTGCTGTTCTACCAACTAATTCTAAATTCACCCTAGTGTGAAAGGTTTTAGACAGCACAGCTGGTCAGCAGCAGCACTCTAGGTTGTTTTTTTTTACTTCTAGGCTTGAATTAAAATCCCAAATGAAGTTGCATTCCACTCTCCGTATGTCTGCCTTGCAATGCCATGGCAAATGATGATTGGCTTTTCTTTTTAATTTCTGCTGGAAAAAGGCCCAAAATAACAAGAGCAGGGGGTGTTACACATTATTACTGAAGTATGTGTTAGAAAGGGCTATGAAGTATATAAGAGCTCCTTCCTTCTTTATGGCTGTGCGTTTTCCTCTTCCATAATGGGAGAGTCTGATGCTCCATAGAACAGTAACAGCTCACAAATATAAACACAGATTTGTATGTTTGGGGGTTGGAATTTTTAAATAGGTTTATCTTTCAAAGAATAAAGATGTCATTGCTTATCAGACGTAATAACTATAAATAAGCATATGACTGCTGCAGTGGTGGTAGAAACAATTTTAGTCATTTACCAGACTGGATTCTGTCCTTAAATAGTGGCAGCTTTAGAAAATAAAGATAACTGGGAATTTTTAATAAAGGAAGTTACCTTAGTTAGGTCACTTTGTATTAGCTAGATTTTTAAATATACTTTTCTGCACTCATTTAGAATGGATGCAGAAATTTGTAAAAGCACCTGCCACATTTTGTAAGAATCTTATTTCTAGGCAGATTTTCAAAAGTCTTACTTTCAGCTTCCACAAGCTAAGCCTAGCAAAGTCAGTGGTCTTACACTGATACCAAGTGTGTTCTTGGGAGAAATTAATCAGGTCCTATGTTGTTCACTCCAAATGTCATAGCAGTAAATAAAAATTATTAGCCACTTCTTAAGAATGGAACTTGACACTCAACAGACCAGACAATCTCTCAAGTTATTTCATGGGACCTTGTGGTGCTTTATCAAATGTGAACCACAAGCCTGAATCCCTTAGTCTAGATTGTTTTGTCAAACTTGAGCAGTGCCATTTTCTATCTAATTAGATTGTATGCCTGGGACAGGCCACTTTAAAAAAATCTTATAAAATGGAGATGTTTTATAAACTTGTGTCAACTGCAAGCACAGCAAAACCAGGAAAAAAGATCTTTATAATTTTTTTTTCTTTTTTTTTGCATTCTAACTGGTGGAAATAGAAAGACAAGCATGTCTGCAGAAAATGCCTGTGACAAATGCAGTTGTGTTCTTACGATCTGTGGGGCTGCTTTTCATTTATTTATTTTTTAATTTGTAAGGCTTAGGTTATTCAGACCATGCAAGTCCCAAGAGACAGTTTTGTTTATGCCGTTTCACCATGTTGCATAGGATTTAACTGAATCCAGCCAAAGATGAGGTAATGTTTGAACAAGATCTTCTCGTATTTCTTGAATGAACAATGTTTCGATGTAATGGTAGAAATCTGTCATCCTCCTTCACGTGCACGTCTGCACCGTTGTCACCGCTGAAGTTGTGCCCACACGCGATGAATGTATTGTTCATCAGACTCCAGTTATAGCCCAACCATTGAAGTCTGGCTATAGTAGAGCTAAACGCTTCTGTACTTCCCATAATGGATAAGCTTGTCCTTCTACTTGAGTACATGCAAGTACATACGTTAGCACACCACCACCAAAGGTAACAACCAACTTTGTTAGTGTGCCAAACCCTTCTTGATACTATAAACTACAGCTACAAAATCCCTGTGGATAATATAATAGGGAACTAGTCGAAACCCAGCGTACAAAAGGATACAAAAATGTCCCATTTCTATGACTTTGCTTCAGGAATTTCTCCTACAATTCAGAAGAAATTATTATCTCTTTGTGGAAGAGGTGACTTAGGCGCTCACTCAAGGTGTATTTCATTATAGAAATAGGCTAAGCCCTTCTGAAGAATCTGTGGTAAATGCAACCTCTTTCAAGTCAGTAACTGTGCTCACTGATCTTTTGATGGAGCTTGGGATTCCTCTTTAGAAGGAAAAGCAGCAACCTCTTTCATTTCGGTATCTTGGTCAGCGATAGCATGAGTACGAGCTTCATAAGGCTCACATGGGCAACAGCCAACTTCTCCTTTCCTGCTCCTCTGCAGAATAGTAGCCCGAAAGTCTAACGTTATCACTGCCAGACGATACAATTGTAGAGTCACAACTAAGATATTCTTAGCTGTAAAAAACACCAGCATCTGATTGAATATTCTGAAGTGGCCCATCAGGATTGAACGCACAATGAAGAAGGGACCATCCTGGATGAAAAGGCTGACTCCAATATTCCACAGTTCTGCACTGTACCTGCACAGCAGCAGGCTGGGGATCCGCCTAGTTGACGCAGTTGGTTTGCAGCCAATGTGCTGTACTGGAAATAAAACACAGTGACGTTAAAACAACTCTCTAAAATCGAGCTAGGATTGGCCTAAAGGGCAGTTACAATCCTGGGTACCCTGGATTATAAATGCATTTGACTGTGAACAATTCAACATAAATAATATCCCCTTTCTGGAACACATTAAGCTCAAATTAAGCAGGTACTTACATAGTCTGCTGAACAGGACCAAAAACCGCTTCCCCTTTTCTATCCCACAAAGCTGTCAGTATTTAAACACTTAAAACAAGAAGCAGAAGTAGATCACCTAATCCTTCTGTAACCAGTTCCCCAGACACTTTTTCTGTTAAATCAACATGCTAGGCTAATATGTGTCTTTAAGAAACAAAACAAAACATAACATTCTGGATGGGATCAGCCTGAGCTGTAGCACTTCAATTTGTTCCAGGCTGTCTAAGATTCTGCTTTTAAAATATTCACCAGATAGCCACTGCATTTTTCATGTGTCATAGTAAGAATAAGTCACAGAATCACAGAACGTTAGGGATTGGAAGGGACCTCCAAAGCTCATCCAGTCCAATCCCCCTGCCGGAGCAGGAACACCCAGATGAGGTTACACAGGAAGGCATCCAGGCGGGTTTTGAATGTCTGCAGAGAAGGAGACTCCACAACCTCTCTGGGCAGCCTGGTCCAGGGCTCTGTTACCCTCACTGAGAAGAAGTTTCTTCTCAAATTTCAGTGGAACCTCCTGTGTTCCAGTTTGTGTCCGTTACCCCTTGTCCTATCATTGTTTGTCACCGAGAAGAGCCTGGCTCCATCCTCGTGACACTCACCCTTTAAATATTTATAAACATGAATGAGGTCTCCCCTCAGTCTCCTCTTCTGCAAACTAAAGAGCCCCAGCTCCCTCAGCCGCTCCTCATCAGGGAGATGCTCCACTCCCTCAATCATCTTTGTAGCCCTACGCTGGACTCTCTCCAGCAGTTCCCTGTCCTTCTTGAACTGAGGGGCCCAGAACTGGACGCAATATTCCAGATGCGGTCTCACCAGGGCAGAGTAGAGGGGTAGGAGAACCTCTCTCGACCTAAGTCATGTCAGTGCAGGGGAATATTGAGCATTGTAGATAGGAAGAAACTCTGGTTGCTGCCTGCTGTATAAGACTTGAGCACAGGTACTCATTTTTAACCTTCTGGGTATGAAATTGTATGCAACTGTTGGAACTTGCGTGGCTGTGTTACCCTTGGCTGTAAAAGTGGTGGTGGGCTAGAATGCTCTTTGTGGCATGGTGTCTAGAGAAGGATCATCGGAAGGGTTTGTGTGGGGTAACTATGGCTGCCTATTAGGAAAAAAGCATGTAGCTTAACAAACCTGTCTCTCAGGGAATGGGATTTCATTAGTTTAAGATAAAAACAACATAGCTACTTGCAATGCAGTAACAACCACCAAACATTTCAGTGTAGAAAAAGGATTCTATTGTTGGAGTCAACGCTGGGAAAAAAACAAGATGAGACTTGAGTGGAAAATGAGTTGTAGAATGTAGACATTTGCTGAATCCATTAGGCAAAGCTTCAGCAGCAGCTAATTTTTTTAATATGTTTTTTATGCCCTAGCTGTTTAACAGTCCTAAATGCATTGCTGTAGTTCAATAATAAATGCCTGCAAACTTCTATTTTAGATCATGTTTGATGTGTGAGTAAACATACTGATGCTTAAATAAAAAGTACTATCTGTGCAACTGTACAGAACTATCTAAAATAAACAGTACCCATACTAAATTTCAGGGCAATGTCATTTCAATAACTTAATTTTTAACTGGTAAATGTAATTAAATAAGTGGAAAAGCAACAGTCAGAGAAAAAAATCCACAGTACAACAGGTTACTTCACTTAAATTCAAACAGTGCTTAAACTACCAGAGCATTAATTTGCTTGGGTAGTGGTGACAGGTATGGTTTGGGGTTTTGGAGGGTTTGGTTTTTGTGGGGTTTTTTTAAGCCTGAGTGCATCTTAAAATATATTTCACCAGTAACAGGAATTTTAGCTGTAATAAATCTGAAATGTGGTGCCATCAGTTTTTTCAGGAGGTGATCTGCTGAGCTGAAATGCTGAAATATTTTCATAACTTCAGTGTTGAAAACAAAGCCTCGTGCTGTCGGTGAAGAAAAGGCTAATGAAAAATTCCTGGAAGCATTTTTTAATTTTATTCATCATTTATTATTTAATCAGCGTGTCTACCTAGTCATCAATTTTATAAAAGGTGTTAGTGAGAATAACACATTTTTGGACTGGTATAGTTGACTTGCAAACTTGGAGTGACTGGAGGCCAAAATGGTTGGACAGATGATGATTGAGGCAGCTTTCACTATTCTACTTGGACACAGAGAAGCCCTTTCTGCATGGGGGCAAATACCAGCCTTAGCTGGCTGAATGTTGGGCCTTTTTGTTTAAGACACAGGTGCAACGTACCAATATTACATGGACCTTTAGGTTCCCTGTGAATAGGTAATTTCTCCTGTGCTAACCATTTCTGTGCTGTGCTGTGCATTTCAGGGCTGTGCTGTCCCCTGTGGTTAACGATAGCCTATCTCTCCACAGTGTGCAGTAACCTACCCAGATTGGTGCCACAATATAATCCAAAATCAGATCTAACTGGAGAGCTCACATAGTGAACTTTAAGGCAGTAACACGCAACCGGAGCAGATACAATATTGCAGTGCCATTTCTTTTTTTTCTGGAAGTAGAGAGTTTTACCTGGGAGTTCAGAGGTTAGCCAGAAATGAGTGTTTCCTCAAAAGAAACCACAATGGGCTTTCTTCAAAAACCATCACTGTCGCATGAATTGCTCTTCACCAGAAGCCCTTGGTACAGCATGTAGCACGTGCGCCGCCACAAGATATGCCAGCAAAACTTAAAGCATTTGTTCTTTCGTCTTGTCTATGTGCAAATACTAACCTGCAAGATCAAGTGGAAACTGTAACATACTCCAGGTCCATACAGCAAGAATTGCGTTTATGAGAGCATAATTCTTCCTATGGGAGGGGAAAAAAGTGTCATTTAAAGGGTGGTTGAGCTAAACAGTGATTAATGCACACTCCTGAGATGCAATACTAAGGAAAACAGAGGCACCTTTTGATATAGAATTTTTGCTGTTCAGGCTACATGTTACAGCTGTGTAATCACACTAAATATCTGATGCTAATGTTATAATGATAAGCATGTGGAAATCCTCTGTGGCTCAAAGAGGAGATGTCTTTACTCTTGTAGTGATTACATTCCTTGCAAGCCTGAATCTTCTCTGCCAAGCGGGAAGGGCCTCACTTCCTGCTGCAAAACCCATTCTTTGATATTAAAAAAAAAAAGTACATCTGTAAAAGAAGATGAACCTCTCCTGTGATTCTGTTTCTTTATGATGGATGTTCACAGCTCATCCCTCAGTGCTGCGAGGGGGAGATGGGCTTACTTTTTCTGGGAGAGATCAGTGTGTTGAAAATTCACACCAGACTGTGCCATTCCCTTTCGTCTTATCTTTGAACACTTTGTCATTCTATCATGAAGAAAGTACGCATGAGAAAACCAAAGAAGCAACTTGGATAATGAATCACTAAAGCAAACTCTAGTTGCTTCCTTGCTAGTCTAAAACAATTCATTAACCTGAAAGAGGCTTACTGCGTACCCAGCATTTCAGCTCCCGTGGCTGTAAAAACTGGTGCTGCATGGCAGTTATGCTCATTGTTTGGCTCTTTGTACCTGTTTATGGTGATGGATGCAAAACGCTTCTCTGCTGGCAACATATGAGTAATCCCTAACAAAGCTCATAGGACTGTTAGGTCTTCCACTGAGGGAAAGGTGAGAGTAGGAAAACAGAGCCCTTGAACGTACCCTTCTGTTAACTGTAGGAAATACAGTTCCACTAGTCTGAACACCACAGATTGCATGAACAAATCTTCAAACAAAAATATCTTGCACTATGCAAATTATTTATGTCAGCAAGTAGTCCTTACCGAACATCTTCGATGTCCAAGGTTTCACTTGCAAATTCAAGTGTATCTGCTGCGGTTCCCACAAACATGAGAAGCAGCTGAGATAACTGATCCCGAGTGATTTCAACTCCAATGGGGAGAAGCCATCTCCCAACTACTAGTAGCAAGAGAAAAGTCTGGTGGAGAGCCAACGTCCATACAGTCTCACAGATTGTGGAGAGCTGATTCACAAAGACTTTGGCCTATTAAAAAGACAACGACAATAACATACTGTAACTTCAGGAGACTGACATAATAGGTACATTCAGAGGCTCTATTCCTCCTTGAGCCAGCTCTTTTTCTCCTTCACATTACATTAGAACAAATCATTTCTATGTGGCAGGCATAATTTGAAAAAGGCACATTAATACAAATTTGGGGTAATTAATAGCAAAGCTTTTTCTGAGTACTGCTCCTCCTGTTCTTATTTTTCAGTTGAGCATTAACCTTTGCAGATCCATCATCCAGATACTTTTTAAATTCAGTTACTGAGATATGGAAGAGAGGAGTAGGAAAGTGTCTTCACGCAGAGACTTTTCCTACCAACAGTTAGTATGCAGCATGCTATAGGCCACTTTTACAATATGGTTTTCTGAAATTATTTTTTATTTTTCCTTTTTTTTTTTTAGTTTTAATCACTGTGTGAGGAGCTTGCCCAAACAGACACAACAGTCCTCTCTAATTGCTTGAATATGATAAGATCTCTATTAGGAACAGGAAAAGGTGTCCCACCGTCTGAATGATGTGGTGATCTGTTCCCTCACTTCCATGACTGCTGTCTCTGGATTGATTGAAGTCTTGGTTGCTGACATTCACCTGAACTGCTCCAGGCTCATTACCACAGTACTGTTGTGAACAAAAACATCACACATGTGTAAACTTCCCACACAGGGACCAGATGTGCACTGTGGCTGAAAGACTCCTGTTTTGCTGAACTGCAGAGGGCTTATTTGTGAAAGTCAGTAGATGTTTACGAAGGTACATGCTCACTCTGAATGAAATTCCCCTCATGTTCCAAAGGGAGGAATTCCTTTCATGAGGAGTGATGTGTTGGTAGGTCCCTGAGAAGGTGTAGTACTGTACTACAGAAGAGGATGTAAACTGAAAAGCTGATGGAGCAGGTGACACATTTGTGGTGTTAAGACCACACTCTTTGCATGCCATCTGCCTGCAGCTCTCCTGAACAGGCTACTGGGTTTCCTACATAGTCTTTATCTGGCTAAGACAGTAAAATAGGGTAAAAATTGCTCATGGTCAGTCTGCTGTTTTATGTTCACAGTCAGGCTCTATATTGACATTTTTTCTCAAAATATCTGCTTCTCATCTCTGCTCTCCAGGAGAAGTTCTCTAAAAATGCCATGATTTCATTCTTCTGTATGACTTCCCTCAAGGCTGAAAGGAATAGTTGGGGTAGCATGTTTGGGTTGTATTCTGTGCTTCACACCCCCTCCCCACCCAGCTGTGTCTTATTCTGCAAGGAAATTCATAATATGAGAGGTGAGATTCAGGAATAATTAAGAAAAATGTGCCTGTGTTGTTGCCTACCTCTGCAGAGCAGAAAAACACGTATTTTCACTTTACCCAGTACTCTGGGAAATCGAATGTTGGATAAAACACTGCTACTTCAACGACAGTGAACCAGTGGTGGGACTGTGTCCCATCTGAGGTCTGCAGCATTGCACTGCCCTTCTACCTTTGCCCCCAAGGCTGGCCCCAGAACAACTGCGGTAAGGTTCTAAAATCTGTCCTCGTATCAACCCCTTAACATCTCTCTTCATTGTAATAAAAAAGGGATAATTAGAAAAACAAACCATGCTGTTATTAAAGACTTTTATGGTGTTTTATTTGTGCCAGAGAACACCAGATCATTTGCATTTCACCACTGGGCCCCCCACCATTTTATTTCACAGGAGTGATTTTCTGCAACAATCGGAATGTGTTCTAGTGCATACTGAGTAGCTGTGTTCAGCATAATGCCCTCCAATATAAAGGCAACATTTTCCAGCAAATCTCACATCCTAGCAAAATTTTAGATTCCACTTTGATACTTTCTGTGGTCTCCATTAATGTTGCCCAGTGTTTGGGTAAATGCTGCCTCTTGCCTGACCTTGTCATAGATAAATGTAGCAACTTCCTGTGGTCTGAAAAATCTGGAAAAAAGAGTCAGTGTTTGTTGCTTTTATAGTTGATGGTAAAGGCTCTTAAACTGAATGCTTGCCTTATTTGGATAGTGGGTGTGAAGAGCATTGGAAAATTGACACCCAGATACAGGGAACATGAGATTTCTACTTGGAGGAGGGAAGTCTAAAGTTCTGAACACGGAGATGGTGAGACAGAGGGGTTGGTACTATGCCAGCTATAGCCTTGTGGGGTGACTCTCCTTGGGTTAGCCCTTCAACTAGAGGAGAGAGACAGAACAGCTTGCCCAGAGGATGTTTCAGAAGTGAAACTTCACTGGGGCTCTGGAGAAGCCTTTTTATCTGTTGTTTGTAGAAAAAGTCTAAAGCCTATGGAGACCAGCCCCCAAGGTCAAAGTCAGCCTTTCTGAGTAACCCCCGCAGGCAGCATGACACAGTTGGCTGAGGAGACCATGGCCTAAAAATATGGCATAACTGGGGTAGCCACCCCAGCATATTAAGGAGTATCTACCTTGTAACAGGTAGCCTGGCTAGGGCAAAGGGATTACTAACTTGTGCTAGAGGAGGAAGGCTAATTCACCTTCACAGCCTCTGGTTTGTCACTAAATCTGCATTTGAGCCCACTCCTCTGGCCTTTTGCCTGGTTTGGCAGGGGTAAGAGGAATGGAGGCATGAACTTGAGTTAAACCTCACATCAGAGGTTGGGATTTTTTTTGTTTGTTTTTTAAAGCCCTGTTGCTCAGGGAGGACTTTGCCAAATTTGAGGCAAGACCCATGTAGGGCAGTCTGCTGCATTTGCTGTATGTGTAAGGTTGGGGCAAAAAAAAAGGTGCAAATCCCTTCCCAAACACTGTCTGAAGGACAGGAGTGAAGTGGGTGGTAGCAAGGTGTATAGGTGCCTCTCAGCAGGTGCTATGGCTCTCCCTGTGTCAACAATACAGAGCAGATGGCTCTCAAGGCTCCAGAGCTGCTGGTCCATTTAACCTGCACACAGAGCAGAGGAGCCATGGGAGTGAGCAGCTCACACTACTGGGGGGAGGTGAAGGAAAGCATCACACGGATCCCATGTGGCTTGCAAGGGGGCCCTTTTAAATTCTGAGTGAATGGCACTCCTCAGGGCCAGGTCCATATCTCTTCTCAACTGCATGCAGGCAGGAAATGGAAAACTGCATCTGCAAAGCCAGTCATTTAAGTGGACTCCTGATTTTTAATTTGAGTATATTCATATCTTGTTTTCGTTTGTTTCTCTCTGAATATTTATTAAGTGGTGATTGTGGTGGTGATTCACTTGAAAGTTTGGAGAAGAGCCTTTATTTTCATCATGTATGTGCATGTAAATAGGACTGCTGGTACCAGGCATATTTGCCTCACCCATTATGTATGTGCAGTGACTTAATGGGAATGTGACGAGGAAAAAGTGAATACTAAGTTTCACGGGCAGTTGATAAATGTCGTCTACTTCTTTACTGCTAGAGCCCAGTTACTCCTAAATACTGAGACTGTGTGCATAGCTTTTTATTTTTCTACTGTGCAAAAATAAAACAGGAAGAAACTGTATACATTTTGCATAAATTCTAGCTTGGTTTACTTCCTTCGTTTCTTCTGAGGTGAAGCTTACATTCCTCTGATTTATAAAATATCTCATCAAAACAGAAACTGTGTTGCATGACATGATGATGTCCTATTGTAGGGCCTGTGAAGAGCTCACTGTCAGTGCCTGAGGAACTCCCAAAACACTGAACTATTTAGCAAATTTCTACTTGCATACCACTCAAAATCCATTATTCCCAAATAAAAACGAGGTTAGCTAAAAATTTTTTGCAATGGGTCCAGCACTGAGATAGTAAAATTGATGCTTGAATGCCAGGGTTGAGTATCCTCAGTCCTGGTAACGTGTGTGGGGGCTGGCAGCCTGAGTACGCTGTGGAAGAAGCCAGCCCTTCCCTGGAGTGGGCCCTCTGCCAAGCAACAGGTACCACGCTGGCCCTCTGCAATTCCAGCCTTGATTGCTGGAAACAGCGCTGCTGTCCCTATAGCAACATGTGTGATGTCAGAAATTCAGAGCAACCATGACTGCTTGGTTTTGCTCATATAGAAAAGCTGAAACAGAACAGGGACAAAAGATTGCTTAAGCTGTTTTCCAAATTGAGGAAGATAATGGGTATGGGAGGGAAGAAATTGTGAACAAGAGTGATACACTGGAATTTTAGCAGGTAAGAGAATCCCACCTCAGAATAAGGCTGAGGGAGTGGTCAGTAGTATTGACTATTTCCTTAAAATAAGTTAAGGTGGTTAAAAGTGATTGCAAGGTTTACCAAGTATTTACATTATTACTGACTGGGAACCCTACGTCGACTACAGCACTTGTAGTCAGGTAAGTCCTGCAGAAGGTGGTCAGTTACTGCTTTCTGTGGCAGTGATGCACCAGGCATCTGAAAAGGTAACAGAGGTATTTGTTTATCTGAGATTTTATACATTATGAAAAAAGAATGTTTGCTTTTTCAATGGATTAAATGGTTTTAATTGTTTCCACTCTGTTTTGCAGACAGCAACTTTTTTGACTCAATACAGTTCAATGTACTTTATAGTCTCTCCCCAAATTGTATTTAATCACCAATTACTTCACCACAAAGCAACACTTTCTATGCAGTCAGTATTTCACTGTGGATATATGAATGGTATTACTCATGTCCAGTTCTGCAGTACTGAGAGAGGCAGAACTGCCTCTGCCTTCAGAAGAGACTGTATATTAGCATATGCCTTAAATAACAGCACCAAAACAAGCATTTGATGTTTCCTTTTAGAGATTAAACATGAGAACAAAATTCTACTGCCTTAAAGACCACAAACTGTTTTCATGATGTGGACCTGGCAACTGCACAATTACCCACTCTGTTAGTATTTTAATAAGGAAAATCCCAGCAATACTTTAGCACTGGAAGTAGTATCAGTCTAGGTGCTCGTTTGACAGTTATTGTTAGGAGGGCTGCTCCCCTTCTGGAGGTATTGGGTTTTAATCTATTAGATTGTGTTTCTAGAATTCTCTGTCTTATCTCTCGAGGTATAAACTAAGCTGTTAATGTGATATACTCTCTCTTTAATTCACAGTAGCAGTATATCAATAAGAACAAAGTATGCCATGTTCTAACATCATTTTGGGAAATAAACTGCTGCCTTTGACTACAGAATTAGCCTGTTTCTTGAACCAGATTTAACTATGACAAATGTTCTCAATATCCACATTACCTGTCTGTGACTGTTTAAGGAGATTTGGCAAAACAAGA